CATCTATTTTTATACGCATTTTGAGGTATCGCATAAAAAACCCTAGATGGAAACACCAAGATTCACATAAATTCTAAAAATGTGCATAAAAACATGTGTTATGCGTAACTTATGCGTAAACTACAATAGAAACACCTTTACCGAATAAATTCCTTGAATTCAAAAATTATTGTATACAGTGCCTTCTCCTACTGCAGCAAATTTCATTTTCCTTTTCTTTAATCAGGAAGTGACGATTTTGTTCTCTTCAACTCACTGGATGGAAATGGTGCTTTATTCGCGATAGTTTTATGCGATATTCCAATCTTGCACATAAGTTTAATTCGAAACTTTGGATGGAAGCATAGCTAATGACTTCAGTCATGCTCCTGTAACAGTGCTTACACTGACTCGCCCTACATTTACTCCCTCATCAGGTGTCAACACACGTTCTGCCAGAGTGCTCTTCCTCCTGGTGGCCCCTGGTCATCTGGTCTTCCTCTACACTATTAACTCTATGCAGGGTGGACACACCACTCTCACCTCTGTCTTCATTGCATTTTATCTGGCCGCAGCTCTGCTTCAGGTATACCTGAGCTTCTGTTTCTCATTACAAGGAAATGCTTCAAATGTTTTATAGTGTTTCTGACCTACAAGTTTGAGTGAAATGTGTGGAGAAAAAAAAGTCTGGGTCATGTTTCAAAAAGAAAATAATTAAGAAATTATACTTTGCATGAGGAACATATTTTAAGATCTTTAAGACTTTTTTTGCATTGTGACATTAAATTCTCATTACTATCATGAAAAAATTGAATTCACTTTACAAATACATCACCGTTCAAAAGTTTAAGGTCAGTACGATTTTAAAATGATATCCTTTTATTCAGCAAGGACAGTCAACTCACCTAAATTCTGCTTTTGAACTTTCTAATCACCAAAAAACAGTTTCCATAAAATAAATAAGCAGCACACCTGTTTTCAACATTGATGATAATCAGAAATGTTTCCTGAGCAGCAAATCATCATATTAGAATGATGATGAGGAGTGATGATGCTGAAAATCACAAGAATCAATTCAAAATATTTTATTATAGAAAACAGTTGCTTTAAATTTAATAATATTTCACAATCTTAAGTTTTACTGCATTTTTTGGTCAAATAAATGCAAAAACATTAAATAAATAATTACTAACCCCAAAATTTGAAATGGTGTATATCAGACACAAAACAAATTTATTTATTAATTAAAATATGTTCAAAAATATGCATATATTTAATAATCGATCAGTCCATTATTTTCCGTCTGTTGACACATTCTCTTGTCTTTCCGTCTAGGTTGTGATCCTGTTGTACCTTGCAGACTGGATGGTAAACTGGATGTGGCATCGAGGGATGGATCCTGACAACTTCTCCATTCCCTACTTGACCGCCCTGGGAGACCTGCTGGGGACGGGCTTCCTGGCTCTGTGTTTCCACATCCTGTGGCTAATTGGAGATAGGGACACAGATGTGGGTGATTGATCCACACTGCTTCCTTTGACTCTGTCCAAGCAACACAAACGTCTTTATTTATAATGCCACATAGAGAAATAATATCTATATTGTTATGGCTACAATGGCTACCATGATTATATTGATGACAATTTTGCTTTAGTATTGATATGTAATTTCCTTGTTGTTTAGCTACTGGGAGAACAACAATCCTCATTATTTTTCAATGGGGATGTTCGGCCCGATTTTACGGCCAGTCGCGTTGGCTGCATGTAAAGATGACATCGACCTAAACTTGAAATATTTCACAAGAGGCAAACGAACATAGAATGCTAAATCACCAAGTGCTACAAAATAGTGATTTGATGGTGGCACTCACAGCCTTTGCCAAATACAAACAAAAAATAAACATATTTGGACCATCACAGAGTGACCTAAATAACATTTCAGGCTAGAGATTGAAAGAATCACTTAAGTCTTAATAGCAGAGACTGAATCTCAAAGGGGACCTTTTGACGATAAAACATGCCGCATGTAAAACGCATAGAAAACAGCCCTATTTAACACGCAATGCTCCGTTTTCAGGATCTAAATTTGCTTTAGTAGCTCTGCTTATGGTTACAGAGAGAGATAGTAACCTAAAGTGCTTTATTGTTTCATAGAAATCCCTGAAATACTCAAGTTCTGCAATGAAAAGGGTTCATGGGTTGTTTACGCTCAACACCTAAAGGATCAAATATCAGACTTTGCGTCATTTGCGTAGGTTCATTTCCGTTACATACACAACTGTTTAACCCAGTCAAAGGCCCGTAAGATTGTTTTAAGCTTCTCAGGCCATTATTGTGAAGTCCACATCCGATAATCTCCAAAATCTCATCTGTGGACTCAAAATACTGGGACAGTTCATGAATTTGTAGTGATGGTTAACAAAGTGGTTATTTTAAAAGGGCTGTGAGTTAGAAAATGGCAGTCTGGACCCTTTTTATCAAACCAGAAATCATATTTGACAATGTACTTTTAAAGGCTTTCCAAATACAAATGAATATTCTATTATATAGAGTATATATACAGTTGACTCTTTGCTAAGCTCCGCCTCCCTGAATGAACTGGAGTTTCTATGATTTTTGGTTAAATGGGCTCACAAAGTGTTCAAAATTAACTGGAAATTATTCTCATGTGAGTTGAAAGGAAGTATACATTGCAAAGCACTTTATCTGCCTTTAAAGAAATTAAATTACCCAGTAACATGATTAAAAAAATGCAGAGCCTGCAAACTCGAGGCAAAAACGCTTATCACAGTCAATTAAAAAGAGAAAAGGCCCGTTTCATTGCTCAGTTACCTTATGGGTAGGCTATATTTTTCCATAATAAAAGGCAGTCTAAATCTACACTATAAAATGATTTTTTCGAAGCTGTGAAATAAAGCAAAGATTACTGGAGTACGTTTTACAAGAAAATACTATTTCAGTCTTTC